TTCAGTATGCCTTAATTGTTAGGACTTGAGAAATAAAAGACCAATAAATCATGACTCTGTACACTTTAATGGCCATACCTGGCCAAAAGGAGCTTGATTTATGAAACAGGTATCTTCATAATTTCTTGCAGATGTCTGTATGTCAGAAGGCCTCATAATATGGCCTGCAGGTTTGTGGGCCTGCACAGTTTACTGCACCAGACATCCTGCATTATCAGACACAGACTTGACAAATGACTTGTTGATGGACAGCTCCAATACTTTTCACCAGGGTTACCCAGCAGCCTCATTGGCTGTTTTTCTCCCAAACCCTTTGATGTTCTGGTTTGGCCAGGGATACATTTGTCCCCTTTTGAAATTTGAGTGCTCTTAGGGCACATAGACATCTCTGTTTTGACAGAAATGTTTTTCAGGTTTTTCTTTATCTTGGGAAGGAATGGTGAGGTCAAGATATATGTCTGGGCACGGACCTCAACTCCCTGGAAACATTTGAACAAGTCTCCCTCTACTTCAGAAAGCCTAAGTTACCAGTTGTCTCAGTATTGTTCTGCCCATGCATGAAAACCTCTCTGATGATAAGATCATTTTTGGTAACCAAAGATTGCATGGGCTCAAATTAATGCATTAACAGATACTAACCAATAAAAAGCTGCCAGGTGGATGGTCCAACTCATCATGGCTATTAGGGCCAACCACACTAGAACTGTAAGGACCTCTTACATCATACAGCCACAAGGTTTGGATACTTAACTGACAGGCCACATGAAAAGGGCAATAGGGATGTTTACCGTCAAGTCTGCAAGTCAATGTAGCCTCCCTTACCATGAATTTCAAACTTGTGCACTTATCATATTCTTTAAGGTCAATGAGGAAACTATCATATTGTTGGTGTAAAAACATTTTGAGACTGCCCTCTCTAAATCTGTCCAATTATTTAGATGAAACAGGTGGCATATTGGACCCTCTCTGGCCAATGATTACTGCCTAGCCAATTTGATACTGTCTTATGCCACCCTAGGATCTGCTTGGAGATTAAAGGAACAGCCAATAGGATTTCTTAAAATTTTCTCTATACTGAACCGCTGCTACTGAATCATGCTTTAAAGGATGAATTGCAATATAGATGATGTGTTTATGATGTAGTTACTAAAACTTCAATCATTGCTGTAACTTTGATATTTGGATCACCTTGGTAGTTTTCTCAGCAGTATCTCAATATGCATGTATATTCTTCATCAATGGAATCTCCATAATCCATATCTATGTTTCCAGCAACTTTGATAGGTTTTTGTGGGTTTTTACTGGTGCTACTTGTTGAAAGAGAGGTACATGTGCCAGAGATAAAAGAAAAAGACTGTCAAAGTGAACTGCAAGAAAGATACAGAGATGTGCGAAGTTCAGTGCACTCTGTAATGTGTTTGCCAGGTGAATGATGTGTACCTATGTGGGGACTGGGAGGTGCTTTGTACTAGTACACTTGATGTAGAGTGACATTAATGTCCATCTGGGCACTAATTGTAGCAAATGAGTGAGCTGTTAATTGTAGTGTACACCACAAACGAGACAGGAAAATAGATTACGTCAAAAGATAAAATTAAGAAGGCAGTTTATGTAGATTCATTTGTCGAGCTGTTTCACAAACAACAGTACAAAGCAGGCGGAAGATACCAATCTGTGGCTAATCTACTTGTCTATTCACATGTCCTGTTAATCATTGCTAGTCTGTGTGTACTTTGGAGTCAACGGAAGCTGCCAAACTTTCAAATTTTAATCATGACGCAGGTTATGAGTTTACTCTGCAAGCGGACTCTTTATTGGCGACCAAAGATCGCTACCATTTCTCCATCCATCACTCCCTCACCATAGCTCCTGTTTGCAGTTACTTGGACAACTGAGGAAGTTTAACACAGGTACAAGATAAAACCGTTGATATTCGAGAAAAGGGGGCTCGGTGTCCATGGTGACCAGATGTGTTGGGAATACGGAGAGCCCCGGCGTGTTACACAACTTATCACAATCCGCTTTATATTGATTGGTTTGGCCACAGCTCCGTGTTTAGAGAGGAGGGAGGGTTGTTGGATTAGTGGCACACAAAGGTGGAGGATGCTAGCAACACACAACCTGTGCTTTAGGAGACAAAGGCAAGCTGGTGGAGTAGTTTGTGCATAAATGAGGGGTACTAATGAGGTCAGGTCGGCAGCTCTATCAAGACTTCATTAGGGGATCTTGGGAGCTTTGTTGGCCCATTGTTGAGGTGACAAATTGTCCTGACCTGGAAATGCCCCTGTTGTTCAGGAGGTGTTGTCTCCACACCTCTATCAGAGAACATTTCTCATCCCCCACTGACACAGTGATTACCCACACATCACTCTCAGACCTGATAGACAGGAGGAGATGCCAGCGTTTTGCCTGGGGGAGGCCACAGTAAGAAAGATGTGCCTGGCAGTAGATGAGATTTGCCAAGAGCAGCACCTATCTTAGTCTGAAACAGTTTGCACACATTTTCACTGATACTGGAACCTATTTCAATTATTTCAAGTTTGATAATACAGTTTAGCTTTTTTGATACATCACGACAAAGAATTTAAAAAAGGTTTTTAAAAATCCGGTGTAGAGAGTCAATCAGGTTTACAGACACAGTTATTACCACTTGTATGGGTACACTAGGCATTAAAGGGTCCTTGAACTTGATTGCAGAATAAGCATATTGCAAAGTATCATAACTTCTCTATCAGTACACACTGTAGCATAGTGGGGGCAGCTATTTATTTGTTCTTGAAAGGTTTTTCATTACAGCAATGCACTTATGTGTATATCACTGTCTGTTTGCTATTGTATTAATGTTGTAGAAATGCCACATTAACTTTGAATTCATTGCAAAATTTGCAAAACTGTATGTGTGCAAACATGAAATGTCTAGGTTCCCAAGTCTGAGTCACTGATCTATTGACTTTACATTGAAAGATTAAAACAGATTGCATCCGGCGTAGACAAGCCGATTAATGGAAAGTAAATAGAGAAAACAATGGGCTCCACGTTTGTGTTGGCATTAAAGTTATAAAGGTATAATAAAAAAGCTAAATTATTATCTTAATTATATCTACGGTTCAGGAATAGCAATCAGATCTCCAAACTTTTGCTTTGTCAACTTACAAACAGACCCTATTGCCTAAACACCATGAATTTCTCACACGCATTTTGTAAGGAATGCTTTCATTTTTTGTGAATCTATTCTTTTTTAAGTTTCTTATTTACCTTCAACATTCACAAATGGCTTCTGAATTGATGCAAAGTAGGCACTTCACACATTCATTTGAGGTAATTAACATGGCCTCGAGAGTTCATTAGTGTTCAAAGGACGAATTAATTTCTTGTTGCCACCCCATGTATGAAACCTAAAAAGAATTGATAATGAGGTGTAAATTGGATAGGCCTTTGAAGGGAAATTAGTATGAAATGGATTGGACAGAGAAAGGAAAGCTTTGATGCTAATCATGCCAACTTAAGTATGCAGATGATGTATCAGAGTTTAGGACATTCTTGTAGTTTGGAATGTATTGAAAGCAGACAAACCTGTAGTTTGTCTGACTTGGCTACAATTCTGAATCAAAAGGCTTGCTCCAATAAAATTGACTGCAAAGATAGCAAAGAAATTGAAGCAATTGCAATTTTCACACTTATATTACAATTTCACACATGCTGCCATTTACCAGGCGCCTCTTGGCACCCAGATTGTGTTGTATTTAACACCATATGTTGATGACCAGCATTTTCCATATTGAAATCTGACCAAATTTCAGTGCACTTGTCTTTTGTTGTTAAAGACCCCTTTGATGACATTTAGGATGGTATGAAGGCAGGAGAATAATTTCCAGTGTGATATCTCTAAACTAAATCAAAATTTCAGTGAAATAACTGATTTATTTCAATTTCATCAACATAAGATGAAACTACTTTTTTATTCCCACTGCTGCTTCAGGCAACCCTCTTTCTTATCTTGCTGAAGTATAAATCATGCTTCAGTGATGAAAATGTTTGAAATGCTTTGGTCTGACCCATTGGTACTTTACATCCCACCTGGGCTGGTATAAACCCTAACATCATAAATCCCACTGCTTAGATGACATCATAGTTGGACACAAGCCAACATTGTCCAGCCCATGCTGTGACCTAAGCACAGACCCGAACTTTGTTCTGAACAAATTTACAACTCTATTTTTAACAGAAAAATGACTGTTCTTTCAAGTCGCCTACTCAGCAGTCCAGGTAAACAGATGGAATCTCAAGGACTAGGACGATGATTACTGTATGATTTCATTTTCTTGACCCGTTTTTGAGATAATTCTGGAGACGAGTGTATCACAGCAACAAAGAGCATTTATTGATTCCTATCGAAAAACCAACTTTGCATCAATCTCTTCGGAAATGCCCCCAATCCCCCTTCTGCGTCATCAGGGTTAACAAGATTTCAGGAAAGATAATCTCATTTAAGTTCCTTTTCCCCTCCTTAGGTGAAGGTATACAAGAAAAATTCACAAACAGCTCCCAGCCTAAGGTTATGCATTAGCGTAGCCATAGATATGCCCAATATTGACGTAATTATATTTCCCCAATACTTAGCACAAGGCCTTGCCAGTCTCTGCCTCGCCTAAAGAAATCCAGAGCCCTTTGTTATAACAAAATTAGATCCTCTGGGGGTAAAATGGAACTCTCTATGTCTAATAGGATTTGATACAAGAATCCATTGGTGTACACAAATACATGTGGACTGTACCAATCTGTGTCAGAGGGGTTGTTGCTGAGTAGTGTGACTGATTCCATGTCACAGCTATTAAATTGTTCCTCATTGTTTGCCAATGCATAGAGTAGACATATAGGTGCTGAGGTTAGTGTACTCAAGTAACAACTTTTATCTCTTTTATGAAAATCTGTACCTCATTACTGCTGTCCCTAATGAAAAAACAGCCATCTTACTCATTGTCTTTGTCATTTTGTTACAGGCATCTTCATCAGTAAGGACAAGACTCAGACTTCACACGAAGAAGCCCTACTAGTGAAGACAGAAGACAAGAAGATAGAGGCCTGCTTACCTGTCCTGTTTATACTGCACACTCTGATGTGACCAGGAAGGAATTTCATCACAAATGGCAAACAGAAACCTTCAGGACTTCAGCATTACTTATACATGTATCAGAATCTCTGTATCAAGGTGGTCGTTAGATCTATTTTTAAGAAATACATTTTGTAATCTATAATTCAAGGGCTATCATTTTGTAATCTAACATTTAAGAGCTGATTGAAATGTTCCTTTGGGAGAATGGTCTTTTCTTATCTTCCCATCTTGTAGCCTGGTCTTGTTTGAACTTATAAGAACAATGGAAATAGAAACCAATTGTAATATATACCTGAAGTACTAATAGCTTCCATGTATGCTGTAGAATGTAAGAAGTTTTTTGAGTCCAATGCAACTTTACTTTCTAAACTTGGGACCAACCACAAAGTGACTTTGTGCTCTAAGTAGAGCACACATTCAAAGGGTCACCAGTATAAGAACAGCATCATAATAATGGAGTAAATAATCTCTTCAGAATTACTTGAGTTATCTGTTCTTACTTCACAATGAACAGCAAACATAACGAAGCAATACATGTACACCACTTTTTTGCCTGTAACTTCCAATCTCTCATAGACACCAGCCCACATAAGATTTTGTCATCAAAAGAGGGGTATTTCAAGATGTTGCCCCAAAAATGTTAAAGGTACTCTCATCCATGCAAGTTTATCCTTTGTTTTGTCTCTTTCTTCATCTATATAATCCCACATCCTGTGTTCCCTTATGTGTATATATCCAGATGATCTGCTCCTTTTGACTTCCGGAGCTTTTAGTAAGGTGAAATCCTTCAGGGCCATCCTAGGGTTCATCAGAAAAAGGCTCTATCACCTGTTCCTGAACCATCTTTAAACAAATATGCAAATGAGACATCTGAAGAAGTAGCAAAGGAAAGTTGGGCTATTCCATTTAGACAGTTGAAGGGGGGGTTGTATATTATACTCTTTCTCGGCCTTATTTTTATACAATGTGGTCAGATGCTCTCACTATTTACTGTCTGCCTTTTTATAAAAATTGGAAGGCTTCCCATGTGTTTTATAGCTATGTGTATGACATCCCCTGGTTGCTTGTGTTGGTATAGCCCATGACACAAAGGCTAGATTACTGCCTAAGGTGGGGAAGGAAGTGACAGGTTTACTTCAGAGAACCCCGATTTCTTGTTATATATCTTCACAACTTATGAATCACCACTAGTATTAGTAAACCACTTTGAAGTTATTGGCGAAACCAATGATGTATAGTGAGAAGAATTACTGTAACATACTGCATGTCTAGTCAATTTCCATAATACACATGTATTTTATAAAGGATTCTAAAAAAAGATTTGTGGATTAGGTGTGCTTTTATACACACAACGTTCTGTAGGGTAGTTTGTAACCGACCGATCGACCATTAACATCCGATGGGACCGTCCAAGTGCTGTGTTTGCGGTAACGCACCGCTTCACTTCGACCTGTCAATCTGGAAGTTTGAAGAGAGCCTAAACAGCTGCCACTACTTTTCTTTCACTGTGGACAGGAAGAAGCAGTTTTCGGAGACATGGGGACAGCTTTGGAAGATAAACAAGTCCCATAATGAACGTTTTTACTCCTAATGAAGTGGTTTGTGAGTTTGTCTTCTTTCTTATGTCTCTTCCAATCGGACTGATTAGTGGTTTGGCTTTAATTATGGGTTTCGGGCCTTTGAAGGTAGAGTGGGCGGTCCTGTGGACTGTAGGGATAAAAGAGACCCATTGTCTTATAGCAATCGTCAGTGAAAGAACAGTCTGTATACACAATGAGGAACGTATTACAAAATTCTGTTTAGCAAACAAAGGATACGCGGTAGACAGCTAAATTGCAAAACTCAGACATTCAACAATCTCTAGCGGAAGGTAGAACTTCTAAGGTTAAGTTAGATCGATCTCTGTGTTATAGAAATATGTCCCTTTAGTTGACATCTGAGTATCCAAACAGGAAAGAAGTGGTGGTTTTAATCTAAAAAGGAAGAGAATACAGGGGCACTTCAAGTAATCTGCGAATGATGCTCGGTCGATATTAAAGGTGTGCTTTTATGCACCTTATCGCCCATCGATTCCTGTACGATCCTTTTCCAAAGTTGAGATTAAAAAAAAGAAGTTGGAAAAGTGCAGTGTATCTTCGTGAAGTAGTATTGCTCTCAAGAGCACTTGACATTGCATTGTCTCTGATGATGCTCGAGTCCAATAATATATGGTGAGTGAGACAGCATTGAATGAAATATCTGTCGGCCTTTTCAATATTACTTGTACCTCATGGGTATACCGGAACAAAAAATACCAGAACAGAAGCTCTATCGACTTGGACATGCTCCCCTGTGGGTCGTTCTGTCGTTTTGAACGGTCGTTTATCGTGAGAACTTGTAACTGATACTACTGATACAGAAGCCACTGGAGGGGGAATGGAAGACAAGTAATGTTGCGGTAGGGATTGTCCGTATAGTGTCTGTGGGGAGAGGCGATCAACAATATTCGGTTTCATCGTCCAGCATCTAGAACTCCATTAACTCAATAAAACAAGTTTGTTATCGGTCTGACTTTTTCTCATCAACTTTCTGGTGCATTTTTTGCCGTTATCTTCCAGGCGGCAGTCTAGATGCAACTTTTTCTATTGTTGTTGCCCAAATATTGCCGGCATATGAACTTCATGCTATGCCCATGATTGATATTTTGAAAGAGGGTACATTGTACACCTAATCCCCTGACTCGACCTACACCTGACAAACGAAAGGGATCCGGAGCTGTGAGAAAATCTACAACCGGACACCCCCAAAATTTCAATCGACGTGGTTCGTCCCTAAGCCGCAATTTGCGTGCGAAGAAAGCTGCTACAGAGCTGGCCCAGAGACAAATTGTACTTTGGGGCGGAAAATTATATCTGTTAATTGAGCTGTGGATTAGTTGGTTGGTGCAGTCACGTTATGAGTAGCAGTCACGGAAAGGACTGCTGAAACATAGGGCTAGATTATACATAATTGTCCCCTTATTTGAGTTCGTGTGTTACTTCTCTCCTCTAGGGTGACCTTTCGGCTACAGTAGTAGAAACAACCGCCAACTTCACCTTTGCTTGTTATTTCTTGCCTTTGACACGGCTTCCCTTGACGAAAAGGGGAGATAAAATGCATTATTTAGACCAGACTTGAGACATCCCTTCACGTCTTTTTCATTATCAATGATTATGAATTTTCATGCTCGGTCTGCATCAAAGACCTTGTTAGCGCTGATCAAAGACCTTGTGAAATCTGATATTATATCAAACGTTCATGAAATTTATTTTTCGATACGGAATATCGTCTGTGGTTTCAACCGCGTACCCGTCTTCGCACCCGGCCAGGTCGCGGTGCAAGTGTTGCCCACACGGTAGCGCTCCCGTGACCACATCCATCAACTTGGCTTTATTTTTGCAGCCAGGGATTTGACCATCAAAGTTTGCAAACGAGCAGGTCTGCGTGAGGTCTGTCCGCGATCCGGGAAGGTCTCCAGCCACGCGCATATGGTCCATATCTTATTCCATCTGCTCGGCGCCAGCGGTTTAGATATGATGAAAGTCTGCCCTACAAAACAATAAATGGGGCGCTTTTCATGTAGTGTCAGGCGCGGTGCACCGTCATCATAATTCTCCGGCCTTCACACACTTTCCGTGACAACTTTTCGCCGCAGTCGTCTGGCCCATCTGGTTTAGATAAAATTTCTGGGCTCTCCACGTGATTGAAACTTCACATGACGCTGCCCCGCATCTGTTGTTGTTATATTTTGTGGCGCTCAAATGTCGTTTCTTACGTCCCCACACCCCCGCTCAGCGATTTCGGGAAGAAAGGGATGTGACATTTCCCGGTCTTGCATGAACTTTTCTATTGTAAATTGTGAACAACAGAGCGAATCAAAACGTGTTGACATTACACGCAATTCCTGGTTAGTCATATGTCAGTCGGGCGACTGAAAATAGTCGTGGACCGATCTGAATAGATGTTTACGTGTTTACAGCGCTAGGGAACATTTACACAGCGCCAAGGCATGTGTATGGCTCACACCGGACCGCGTGGCTCAGTTTTCATTGGCTCTAAGTTGAAGTGTCGTTACGTCATGGCTACGTCATCCCGTCCCAAAATGTAGTACCCGCGCTGACCTGACCGCACCTAAAGGTCCTTATCCTTGTAGTCCTCCGCTATCTGCCCTTCTCCGGTATGTAATATCAAGCACAAGAAACTTAAAACGTTCAAACTAGCCCAAGTTGAAAAACGTTTTATGCGTTATGGATATTTGTTGAGGTTGGAAGGAGTTTGGAGGACTAAAAATGACACGTCCCGCCGGGTACTACTTTGTGTAGTGGCAGACTACTGTCCCGCGTCCAATAATTTGGAGTGGAGCGGCCATAATTCTGGTGCTGACACCCCGGACAGGAACATGGCTAACTGATGTGAGGAGTAGTCCACAGTTCTGGGCTTAATCGACGCGAGATATGCGTTTGTACGGGCCAAGTCGACAGACAGAGGGGGTGACGAACACGGGAGGATTGCTGGATGGCTTGCAATGGGCTGTAGTTCGGGGAAACTAGTGCCGGAGCCCCCGAAAGGCGGTGTGCACGCTGAGTACGTGAAAACAGTCTTCCCGAACGATTACTACATCACGAAGTTCAACGAGGTACCAAACAAGGGGGAGTACAGCTCTCCCTACTCCCAGGAAGGGGAGGGGGGACAAGGGGGCCGGCGGCGAAAACCGGCCAAGTACAGGACAAGGATAGATCCCCGTGTCCTGGCCAAGTACGACATCAAGGCGTTGATAGGACGGGGAAGTTTCTCCAGGGTAGTACGGGTCGAGCACCGGATCAGCCGGCAGCCATTCGCGATCAAAATGATCGAGAGACGGCCCGGGGCCGCCACCATTGCCGAGACCGAACTTCACGTACTCAGGAGAGTTAGACATACGAACATTATCCAACTCATGGAGGTGTTTGAAAGTGACGATAAGATCTACATGGTCATGGAGTTAGCCACGGGTGGGGAACTCTTCGACAGGATTGTGGCCAAGGGAAGTTTCACGGAACGGGACGCTACACGGGTTCTACAAATGGTGTTGGACGGAGTGCGGTACCTCCACAACTTAGGAATCACACATCGGGACTTGAAGCCAGAAAACTTGCTGTACTACCACCCAGGGAATGATTCAAAGATCATGATAACAGACTTTGGGTTGGCTTTCGCTAGGAGAGCGGGAGACGATCTGATGATGAGGACTACTTGCGGGACACCCGAGTATATCGCTCCCGAGATCTTGTGTAGAAGACCGTACAGCTGTGCTGTAGATATGTGGGCAATAGGAGTTATCACCTACATTCTCCTGAGTGGAACAATGCCTTTTGACGATGAAAACAGGACTAGATTATACAGAGCGATCATCAAAGCCAAGTACACCTATACGGGAGAGGTAAGTGTACACCTTCAACGCACCATAACTCTGGAAAGTGAAAACCGTTTTGTTTATGCACGGACCGATCCGAAGAATTGTGCTGGGATATCCAAGAATGTGTAGAAATATGTGCTCCAGATTTCCACTTTCCGGGCCCGAGAATTCCTACCTCCCACTGGGGATACTTCCAGGGGTTTATTTGTAGGGGGAAAGTTGTAGTATTTCGTCTGCGAGTGTGGTAAAAACGCGTTGGAAGTTGTGTTGTTGGGGAGGGGGGACGAAGTTGTGGGGTCCTTGCCATGGTGCACAGTGTTTACTCTGGAGTCCGGTTCGTTATCACGTGAGAAATGGAGGCTTTGTTCCACGTGAGGAGAGGCCACAGCTGCATTGTCTTGTGGGCTTCACTTCATCAACAACAACTGTAGATTCACACACTCCACCACCTCCCATCCACACTTCATCTTTTGATGTCATAGGAATCTTGATCACTTACACATGCAGGGGACCTCATGATCACTTCCTTTCCCCATTTGCAGGTAGCTGTTACTGACCCCATATGTACCCTGCCAAAGTTCATTTTCCCCAGTCGTAGGGCCATTTACAACTGTTGCTGACACATTGCGAAGGATTTAGTTTTTTCGTCCGTGTTCGAGAGCGGTGCTTGCAACAGTTTTTTTGTGTCTGGTGTTTGATGGTGTCGGGGAATTGTTGGGACATGTCGGTCTGTAAATGAAGTTCTATTCATGTGCAGTGAAGTACTGTAAATGAACAAATACTGTTTGCTTCCCATGGCAACACTAGTGTAACAGCTGCAGGGATGGCAAGTTCGCTAAAGTGTCAATTTCAGTTAGGCTTTTTCCCCCTTGCGTCAGAACATTAATATAATCATTGCTGAAAATGTCATTAAATAGGTGTAATTTTGTGCCTGCAAAATTCTTCCATATTGTGTGTGAGAAACAGTAAGCTGTATTATAAATGGCAGGTCAAGCTACTCTCTGGTTCAAACCACACTGTGGCAGAATCTTACCCGAACCAAAAACACTGTCTAGATTACCATACTGCTAGTAAGAAACAGTATCATATAGTGATTGTTATCTACCCCCTTTCTGTTGAAGGACCCAGAGTTCAAGCTAACGTTAACAGTTTGTATCACCAGACAAAACTATTCAGCAAGTCAGACAATAAATTGGCTGGTTGCTGTGCAGATATGATTTCCTGCCAGAAAGGTCTCAGCCAGTCGTCTCATGTTCCCTCAAACATATCTCTGCTGTCTACAGGTTTGTATGGAGAATTTCAAGGGCAGAAAGGGCAGAGTTTTCAGCCCCAGTCAGACTTAATGGGCAAAGCATGTTTCAGTTAGACTTAAGATAAATGAGAGTTTGTTTGCACATAATCATTTCTAGCCATAGTTATGCACACAATAAACAGACCTGACAGTTTTGCCCTTATATGGTTAAGCTTATGGAATGCAGATCTGGAGTTTGCATATCACCAAGGCAGGAAGTAGAGACAAGGCTCATATTTCAAAAGCTTTTAAGTCTGAAATAGCATTGGTAGATGTAATTTTTCTTTCCTGTTCAATGTACTGCGATGTGTCACCTGGATCAGTGGAGTTAGTCTAAACTTCTGCGGCGGTGACCAAGTCATGGGGTAACTCCAAACTTTTCAACTTGACAGGTATATCCAACCTGTCTGTGGTACGCACACTTTGTTAGTGCTTGCTGTCATTACTATTAGAGCTAGAAACCAAATGGAAGAATAGTTGTGCCAGTTGTAAACATATATAGTTGTCAAACCATCAGGTTGATCAGAATGAGTTTACAGAATTAACAGGGGTCGAAATAGATTTTGGGGCCAACTTGCACTGGTGCAAATGAAAAGAAAAATACTTGCACCGGAAGAAAAATAGTTGCACCCTCCAAAAATACAGAAGTGATGGGAAACATCCGCTGGTAGCGACGTAGATAGTAACCTTCTGTTACTTACAAAAAATGAAGAAAAACTTCATGGATTCTGGTTTTGTTCCTTTCCACTCCAGTTCTTTATTAATTAATATTATTGGGTAATTCTACAGGTAGTAACAGTGGATAAAGCAAACTTGCACCATGGTGCAAGCAGGCAAAAAATTAGTTGCACGACACCAAATTTACTTGCACCAAGTTGCACACAGAGGGTTATTTCGACCCCTGATTAACCTACACAACAGGTATGTCCAAACTCTTTGGCACAGCTGACCAATAGGAGGTTTTTTAATGATTAATTATGCTATAGAGTCTTTGCATGTATGGTTTAGGGAGAGGATAGTCCTAAAGTTTGGGACTATCCTTAGTAAACAGTAGCACCTTCCAACTGCTGAAAGTAGTTCCGCTCAGTCAAAGATCCCTGGCATTTGTCCATGCCAGGACATTACCTTCCTGCAAGTGTTCTGATTAATCAAGACATCAGGGGAAAGGGGCAATGGGAAAAAGGTGTAAGAAAAAAAGGCAATTCTGCATGTAAGGGTCCTTATTGGAGGTTACATTAACATGGGGACGGCAGATAAATTGAAGGCATTCTTGTCAGCATTTCCTGGTACATCTGGTAATGGATTTGTGGTGAGGTTTTTGGACCTTTTTGGAGGGAAGGTTGGGGTCTGGTAGCACATGTATCAAAGTGTGTGGTCTTCCCAGTTTGGCTGCTGAAGTTCAACCTGCTCTCTGCATAGTCAGCTCCAGGGGTAAGTGTTTCTGCCCTTTGAACGTTTTTGATAAACAGAGGAGTCTTATGATGATGTACAAAAGGTCTCTGGAAAGATGTTATCCATTTATCGACAAGTCGCTACAGTTACCAATTAGGCGGGGAGCCATAGATTTTTAGGCGCCAGAGAATGTGTCAAACAAGATGTCTGGCTTGGAAGTGAGGGATTTTCAAAGTGACTCTGGTAGCCCTAGTGATGAGTTATGGCGGTGAGAAAACCTTTACCGCAGGACTCTCCTCTCTGTCTGCACTTTTCCTCCAAATGGAGGGTCTTGTTTAGATGGTCCGTGCCGCCACATGGTATGTCCATTTCAACTGTTGATGTTCATGTATTAATTTGTATCTCCTGGGAGAAAGTTTTGTCTGTTGTGCAGGTGGGATTTCAGAAACCCTACACCTCTCCCCAACATCCCTTCAACCATTTTTAACCTTTCAACTCTTGATGCTTGCAAAATGTCAACCCTGTCAACAGGAGAGTATAAAAGCTGTTCTCTGCAGCAAATGATTTCCATATTTCTTTAGAACTTTTCCATATGCTTTCCTTTTCTTTCGCCCACACAAATTAGAAAGTAAGTCATTAATTTATCATAAGAGGTAGATCATGTCAGAGAAAAGACACCAACTTCAGTGCACTCTGGCTGCTCTCTGCCATCTGGATGTCTTGAAAGAACAGCCCAGGACCCATGCTGAGAAAGAGGTTATGGCAGAGGCAGAGAAATGCTTCAAGATGGTGAGGGTCACTCTGGGTGACAGGGGCCATTTTATAATTACACAGGATCAAATTTTGGCAGGGAGAAAAGAACCTATGCAGTGAACCCTCCTGGGTCACAGTCCTCTGCTCTGTTCTGCTGACGTGATGAAAAGAGAGCAGCTCACAAACAAGCTCAAAGTTCACATCTCCTTCAGAAAGTTTAATCCCCATATAAAGAGCAGGACAGCAGGAGACATGAACTTTGTATCGAAATATTTGCTGGTGGGGGGAGGAGTTTAGAGGCAACTTTTTACGGGCCTTTTGTAAAAATACCAGGGGATGTTGCACAAGAATAGGGTAGTGTTTCTTCCTGGAGCTGCAAAGGTCATAATTGCATGAAAGGTCATAGGACTAGGGTCATTTTTAAAGGTTAAAAGGCACTATGGACAAAAGCCGTATGTCTCTGTGCTGATGAAAGACTAGAATATAATTATAAGTACATCATACAATATTGTCGTGAGAGCACCTGTTGTCATAACACTTTTGCTAAGTATTGTTTTCATTGTTCATTTCTTTTCCCCACAATAGAGATTTTGCACTTGAGTAGCTTGTAGCAGTCTGCTCAGCATTTTTTGTGGCCAGGAGGCCTCAGTGGTAGTTCATTAGTACTGGGGTTAGACTAGCCCACTTGGCAAAGAAAGTATGCTGGGTAGCACGCTTCAGGGCTGGTGTGTGACGGTAGCCAGGCATGTATATGGGGAGTATTTTGGGAAGGCACTTGACATTGACCTTGTTCTTGGAAGCCAGTGCAGCATTTAGTTGTATCTTTCTAGTATCTTGCCTTGCAGGTAAGGGTAGGATACCTCCAGCTGAGTTTCTAGGAAATCATTTTGGATAAGAAGAAAAATTGATACATGTAACACAATGGTATTTCCAGTCTAACTGTTCATTGTCGCTGGAGAAAAGACTATGAGGAGGTTTAGGAAAGTTTGGAGACAAAGTAAACTAAAGGCTTTTTATGACTGTAGATCTACCACTTAAGTTCCGGGGATCAACTCGTCACTGTCATGGTAATTGGTTCCTAGGAGACCAAAAATAAAATCTATTTTTAGGACATCTGTCATTCTTCAAAGGTATCTAGAAGATGTCATGACAACAGGCTTCCTGTTCTGATCAAGGCATTTGGTCTGCATTTTGAAGCATTCTAGTGCATCCTTGAAGAATTACCCCTATGACCTGTCTGGAAAAACAAGGATCCCAAAGGTGCATACTTCACAGCCAATTTGCATGCATTTGTCTGTTGATTATTTGTCATGTTTAAAAACTGCAGAGCCAAGGAGCTTTCATCAATCTTTATCACAGAAAAAACTTCTGAAGGGGACTGCGGCAGTGCCTACACATGGCATTACACTCAGTGTGCTCCATCAAATCAACTGCTGGTAATAAAAATTTCTAAACAAATAATAAAATAATTAGTTTATCATCAGCTGAACAACTTATGTACAGCTCATGAAGGGAACATCAATGCAAGGCAAGGTAAAAGAAAAACTTAAAAGGAAAGCTATTGTTTCTTATAAGGCAGGTCTCATTT